CGTGACGGTATATTCGTGGGCTATATCTCTCTTGAAAATGGGTGATGAAATAGATGTGTCCGATGGAATAGATTATATATGCCTTTAGCCCCTCCTTGGGGCAGTTTTGGCCAGTTTGGAGTGATTAAGGATGCTCGTAGCGTGACAGTTGGGCTTTACCTTCCTTGCAAATGGGTGACAACGCTATCTGCATTGAGTTTTATCATCTACATACGTGCCTGAAATGCTAAAAAAATTAGTGGCCAAAAACAGACAAACAAACCATCTGCCGAGGTTTTTATAATCGAAACTTTATTCCAGACACCAAAAGTAACTAGTATCCACAGCAATTTTCAATTTTGACCGAGACCACTTAATTAATGTAATTAGGGCGAGGTCCTTTCCTTCGCCATGTAAAACATAATTTGTAAATTTGAATCTTTTTTATTATCCAATATTAAATTAGATAAATTCCGTTGAGAAACTATTGCTTATAATTATTGTGGAATGAGAAGAATCTAAAAAGTGATTATTTTTTATTGCAGAATTATGTGATAGCAAATAGTGACAGTTTCTAGTAACCTCGATTCGACTACAAGTTTCTAACAAAGCATTATTTCGTTTTCATCATCTAGTAAATTTCAGTTTTGATGACAAATCGGATTCACATCTAAAACACGTTGATGGTGACGCTTTTCGTGAAAATTATTAGAAACTTTGCAATGAAAGAGAAACTTAATACAAAGCCGTTATCTTTGTGATTAGTAAAAGCGAGAGTTTTAGCTATCCTTAAAAGATATGATTATATTTACTTGGAGGTGACGGTATTTTTCCTTTTCTTTAAATGCAATTACTGTCTGTTTTCAATACTATGTCAAAATGTGACATGTATTCAGAAACGTATGTAAGTATACTAAATTTCATTTAAATTGTATAAAGCTTTTGAGTTATTCGAAAAAAAATGTCTTGTTAGTTTTGACCTTTCTAGTCGCTGAACGATGCAACTTTGGATAAAAGTAAATATGTATATCGGATCATCTTACTTTCACAGCAATAATTAGTTCCAGTCTCTGAAATATTGATATACCCATGTTAACAAAAGTTATTGTTGTATAAATTAAAGGAATATCTATAACTTATTTAAAAAAAATGGTAAATGGTACTTTGTAACATTTATTTATATAAAAACGATTTTCAAGGAAATAATCGATATTTCAAGTAGAATATCTATGGTAACTGTAATAATGATTTTTTATGCACTTAATCACATTTGCACTCTAAATAAATTCATTTCACCGTTACAGTCAACATTTATGTCACGTACGCTATGTAGAATATTGTTGATAAACAGGAATAATGAGATCTCAGGTGAGGCAAATTCTATAATTATCCACATTCTTAGAAAGGAAATTTACCCACGACTGCAATTCAATTATATTCAAACAAAACAGACGGTATAATTTATTGTCAGTTTTTTAATGCACCAGAAAATAGACACGATACCATGTCTCTACACGTGAATGAATAAGATTTATGTTTAGTCCTTGTAAGTTTACAAAATAAAAAATTACGGTTTATTTTACCTGCAATAACCGTTCTGTGAAACTGTGAAACCATTCCTTACAAATCAAGGGATATGTCTGTATATCAAAATACAAGCATTAGTAACTTCCTCGGAGTTTTGATGTTATATATATTCATAAAGACATATAGCTCAAACAAACATGGAAGGGATATTTGAAAAGACAAATCGAGGTGCGCAAAATTGATTGGCAGAAATATTTTTTACAAATAGATTATGACAGGGTGTTTCAGGATTAAGTCGACAAACTTTAAGGAGATATTCCGCATAAAAAAATAAGAAAGAAATCAAGTGTAATTTTTTTTCCTGCGACGCTTTATTTTCGAAATATAGGGCGTTACAGATTTTAAAAAAAAATCGAATTTTTTAAATAACTTCTAAATGAAGAAGGCTATTTAAGCCAAATTTGGCATGACATATCTTCTTATAAGATACCATTTTTCCATAAAAGTGGAAGTCCCGCAAGCAACCAGTGGCGGAGTTATGGGGACTCGGACTCATTAAATTATAAAAAAAATTAATACGGCCCTACTGAAAATCAAAAATGATGCTGTTTTTAGATAGAACAGTTTGTTATTGACAAAAAGTGTGCATTCACTGTTTTTCCTAACTCTTATAGTTTCATGGCAACATTGATTTTTCGGAGGGGTGTATCTGGATTCTGTCGATAAACTTTAAAATTAACCTCAACAAAAATTTTCGAGTAGGCTGCTGTCAAGCAATGTTAATTTGACGTTTTTAATATTATTTTGCGAATTGTTGCATAAATTATCTATTATACAAATCATTCAAACTAATAATAATAAGTTTAATAATGCCGTCCATATTTTCGAACAACGAATATGCTGATATGGTCTTTGTATATGGTTTTTGTGATGGAAATGCCACGGCGGCTCGCCGTGAATATGCAGTAATATTTCCTCATCGCAGACTACCAGCAAAGGAAACATTTTCAACGACATTCAGTCGTCTCAGACAAACTGGGTCTTTCGGTATTCCAACTTATGCTGATGGACATTTTGCCCCACTTCAGGACGAAGTAAGATCGAATACTATTTTAAACCATTTCGATGAAAATCCATCCACGAGTGTCAGAAGATCTAGCTATGAGCTAGGTATTTCGTCAAGTTCCATTTGGAGGACTCTTCGGGCTGATGGACGCCATGCGTACCATATCCAGCGTGTGCAACATTTATTGCCTCAGGACATACGATGCAGGCGCGTGTTTTGTGACTGGATGTTAAACCAAGCAGAGAATGATGATCAGTTTACGCAAAAAGTAATGTGGACAGATGAGGCAACATTTACTCGAAGGGGAATTTTAAACCAAAGGAACAACCATATTTGGTCCTACGAGAATCCACGGGCGGTAAGGGAACATAGTTTTCAGCATGAATTCCAATGTAACGTATGGTTGGGTGTGTTGGACAACACTATAGTTGGTCCCTACTTCCTTCCGCATCGGTTAAATGCTGACATGTTTACCGAGTTCCTTGAAAATGGTTTTCAAGATCTGTTAGAAGATGTTCCGCTTAATACTCGAATGAACAGTTGGTTTCAACTAGATGGTTGTCCTGCCCATTTTGGTAGAGGTCCTAGGGAGTGGTTAAACATTAATTATCCCAGGAGATGGATTGGTCGTGGAGGACCTGCAGCGTGGCCCGCACGTTCACCGGACTTGACACCGATGGATTATTTCGTTTGGGGTGCTGTTAAACAAAAAGTCTACGAGGTGCCAGTTGATACCCTAGAAGATCTAAGACAGCGAATAGTCCAAGCGTGTCGAGAATTAACTCCAATTCAGTGTCGATCGGCCACTACCTCCATAATTAGAAGATGTCGTGCTTGTCTACAGTCCGGAGGCGCCCATTTTGAACAAAATATTTTTTAAATCATTTCATTTTTGATTCACTTTTCGCTTTGTCTAGGTATAATATTAATTGGTAATTTTTTGGTTGTTTCAATTTACAAATAAATTTTCATGTATTGTTTGCCATCTTATTTTATTTAAAAGTACACAACACAAGTAAATGAAGTGACTACAAACCGCCTGAAAAAATTTAGGAGTATTGCAAGGGTCGTTACGTTGTCGCATTACGACATAGTCACATTAGATGTTAGGTACTTAAATATTTCTATTGTTTTCGTCAACATCTTTTTTTTTTTTAAAAAAAAACACCCTATATCTCAAAAACGAAGCATCTCCTAAATAATTTTAATACTATTGGTTAAACCCAAGGGAAGGGGAGACAAAAAGGCTTATTTGACTCACACATACTCGAGACTAAGACCAATTTTAATAGGTACTATATTTTTTAGGTTTTATGAGGAACGTCTTCCTAAAGTTTATCGACAGAATCCAGAAGCACTCTTCCGAAAAATCTATTTTGCCATGAAGCTATAAGAGTTAGGAAAAAAGTGAATGTACACTTTTTGTCAATAACAAACTGTTCTATCTAAAAACATCATCATTTTTTATTTTCAATAAGGCCGTATTAATTTTTTTATAATTTAATGAGTCTGAGTCCCCATAACTCCGCCACTGGTTGCTTGCGTTACTTCTACTTCTATGGAAAAACGGTATCTTATAAGATGTGTCATGCCAAATTTGGCTTAAATAGCCGTCTTCATTTAGAAGTTATTTAAAAAATTCGAATTTTTAAAAAAAATCTTTAACGCCCTATATTTCGAAAATGAAGCGTCTCTGGAAAAAAATTTATACTTGATTTTTTTCTTATTTTTTATGAGGAATATCTCCTTAAAGTTTGTCGACTTAATCCTGAAACACCCTGTATATTGTTAATATCTACTGACTTACCGTATTGATATGATAAAAAAAATTATTGGCATAAATGACTAAGTATGTAAAATTCATTAAGGCTATAAAAAACATTGTCACTTAGTGATTTATCTTATATTTACATAGAATAAGAAATAAAATAGATTTGCTGTACAGTGCATCCCATTTTCAACGTCATGCTGGGGTATTTTGGTTTTTATTAAAGATAGAGAGTTGCGGTTTTCACGAACATTGTAACGCATTTACTATTATAAAAAAAATAATTCACGGTATAGCAAAATGGCAAAATACACCACCTCCCCCTCTCTCACAAAAAAAAGGAAAAATTACTTAAGAAGTACGACAAATAAATACCTTCAGACAATAACTCTAACTCTAAGGTGTTATTAGAAAATGGTTTAGTAATTTAGGTTAACCTGCCCACCCACCTATATCATTGTAATCCTGAGATGGTGTCCTGTTCTGTTCAAATAGGATATACCATGAATATGCAGGATGTTTTGTTTACTGTTTAAAAAATATCACAAACATGCCGACTTATTTTGATGAAACACCTTCTCATCATTCAATGAAACTTACTGTAGGCTAAAAAGTTAAAGATGTTTTTCCTAAAATTAGTTTCGTATTTGTTGTTTGCAGGGCTCGGATCCAAGAGTGGCGACATGTCGCGGGAAATTGCAGAACCGCCGTTCCAAATTAAATCAGGAAATCAACAAGGAGCTCAGGCTTCGAGCTGGAGCAGAAAATTTATACAAGGCCACCACGAATAGAAAACTTAAGGAAACTGTTGCCGTGGAACTGAGCTTTGTTAATTCGAATCTGCAGTTGCTGAAGGAGCAGTTGGCGGAACTAAATTCTTCCGTGGAGTTGTATCAAAGCGACAGGTAAGAATTTTATCCATAAAATTGGAGAAATAAATTATGTTTCTATTATAAATGATTAAAAATGTTAACCCAACTGTGGGTATTTTCAGCATGCTTTAACTTTACTGTTCTAAAAAGCAGTAGGCTCTAACTATCCACAGGTTTTGATATGATTTTAGCTTATTTTTTTCGTATATTTCCCTAAAGATGCACTGCATACAATTTGTTAAACGGTACACCAAACATGTCTTTTTGGCAGATTCTAAAGCGTGCTTTGTTAAACTCAAAATGATATCTCAAGTTGCACTTTAACAAAAAAAAAACGTGTTACAATTTTTATTCACCAATTAACGTAGCTTGGAGTAATAAAAGAGTAAATATTCATCGCGTTTTTTATAGTACTTCTACGATTTTTCAAATTCCACGATTTTTTTGGCAACAGTTCACCTTCTATCTTTGACACTTCTGCTATATCTAATGATAGTTTTTCTTCTTCAAATTCTGTCTCCACTTTTTTTTTCCAGAAACGTAAATACACAATGTTTAACACTGCTATAGAAGAAAATATAATATTTTGTACTCATTTGTGAAAAAGTAAGATTTAACTAACTTAATTTATACGAAATTTTTTCTTTAAGCTGAAAATGCTATCCTCATTCCTTAAAATGAAAAAGTCATATTTATGATTTTCTTTACTAAAACATGTAATTATTAAATTTGCAAAAATTTAACAAATTAAATTAAGTTTAACGGAACATTTTTTGTACATACTTAAAAGAATTTAAGAATAAAATAAATAAATTATATTTTACTTGATCAATGTCATGTTCTATGAAACTTACTAAAAAAAAAATTAATATTTTGCTGAATTATACGGAATTATCTTGGGTCAAATTTATGAAACTTGATCAAGTAGTTTAAATTAATTAAAGGCAAAATTAATTGCACTGAAATCCGGAAATATCGGAAGGCACTGTCGTTGAATATATCAGACTTTGTTTTTTAAAAATTTATTGGGAGTATTTTTCCTTGTCTTACTCGGTACTAAGCGTCTTGTAAATAATTTTCCTCGCGAGAAAAACGGAATTTTCAATCCTCGTTGACAAATACACTATGTATACACGATGATATAATATTATTTATAAACTTAACAAAAATGCATATTCTATGACTCATATATGAAGGTGGGTACGTCTAGAATTATGTTTTAATGTGTAGGATTTGTAAAACACATGCTCAGTCACGTGTATGATTATTTATTGATATATTTAACTAAAAGCCTTATGACAGTACTTCTAATTCTGGTTATTTAAAATTCGCATATTTTATTACTACGATCCTTTTAACTAATAGAAACAATGTAAATATGTAATTTTTTTATATATGGTAAATAAAATTTGCATAATTACAATTAAATTGAAATTGAAGGCGTTTGGTATAACATATTTTTTTATTTATTTACTTATTATTTTTATTCATAAATATATCTGAAAGGTAAATAAAATATACGTAGTTCATAAATTATGAAAAGAAAAATATAAATAAAAAATATAACTGGAATTAAGTGTTAAAACATTTAATTCAAATAATTATTCATTTTCTTTGAATTTCAGTATCCATGTCTAACATATAATTTCATACAAGTATATTTTTTCATAAAGTAACAATAAATAATTCCTCAAATTTTATTTAGTCACTGAGATAATATTTAGTTAAGATGAATAGAAAACAATGAAATAAAATAATGAGAATTAAATGTCAAAACATTAAATAATTAATCACTTTTTTCTTTCGATTTCTAAACTACATCACTAAAACTTATATATGCTTTTTCAATGCGTTGATTTTATCATTTTTTTTATCAATTTTCGAAATTTATCGTGCATAGTGGAGAAAGAAAATATAAAAATGTAAACAATATGTATAATAGAGATGTTTAAAACTAACAACAAAGTAGCTGGACACGACCCAAAAATTATTTGACAGTTGAATAATGTAAATATTGATCTAAGCATCTGAGCCACTTGTAGTTAGCAAACAAATCGATTTTTTCGAAATATTCGTTTTCTTGATGTGTTTTGTTTGTAAGTGCCTTCCAATGAGGTTTATTATATCTAGAAATCCGTTATCTTAAGTCGCCTGTTCTGCATAATGTTATTTAACGTTATCATCTGTAAACCTGGTATACCCACTGACCAGCTGATGCTCTAGTCCTCTCTCTCCTGCTGTGTAATATGACGTACGAAGTTATTCACAACTCGTTTTACGTTTTTACACCTCCAGTGTAACATTATTTTTCTTAATAGTGATTATGTATTTATCACTTTCCATTTGTTTTACAATTTCTTCGCTAATTGTCAACTTTGGAATTTTGTCTATCAACAGTAAACAATAAACGTGTGTGTATACTGGCACAATGGGGTATTTGCATCAGAAACATGTGTAGCGTTTTGTCATCGAATATTATTTTACACTGAAAATTAATGCAAATCGTATAAGATTTTAGTTGAACTTCCTATTAATAGGCGGCGCAATTAAGGCATGGTTTAGCACAATTGTCCCCCAAATTCGTCTTAGTTTTATATATCATTAAATTTTTAATTTTCTTATGAACAGTGCAATTCATAAGATTATAGCTACTAAAAAAATAAAATTTGTTCGTCATTGATCGTTTTAATATTTAATAATAATTTAACTGCTTTAGATTTATTTAACTGTGATAAATGTAGCTTGGTTGCAGGCTTCCGGGGCAATCGTCAATTTATTGAACAATTTCCGGGCTGATTGCCATTTAGACTTCTTAACGTTTCGAGATACATAAAGCTCTCTTTTTCGGAGAAGACTCTGAAGTTGAAGGTTAAGTTCTCTTCTCGTTCTGTTGAACGGTTTGAAGGCACTGACCTGGCAGATTCTGGTCTTTGATTTTTACGGAAGAGTCATTTCCAAATTCCAGGTAGACCTAAGCCTTTGTCGCAGTTAACATTATTTTGATTGTATTGAATTTCTAATGCTTCCTTTTTTTCGTTAAGAATATAAAGATAACACATATATTGTCAATTTCTAACTTCTTACACTCATTACTAACTACGCTATTATGTAGTTGAATAGCTCAATTGTGTAATACAGGATTAGTCTGTTATAAAATCATAATTCCCCCACCTAAATTAACTATACGCCTTTGTAGCCTTTGTTTTCTCTATATTTTCCGACCTCTTTATTTTATTTTCACTTTTGTAGATCGTCTTGTGAAAAGTTGCTCCTGTTTTCTTTGAAGTACTGTAGGCGGTTTTAATATTGAATTTTCTTAAGAGGCTTATGTTGTTTAAGACTCCGTTATATACAGGGTGCATCATAACTTATCCGAAAAGTGTTAAGCAGATTTAACATTTAAGGATGTTCGATACATCTCTTACGGGGCAGGCGGTGCGGGAGGGAAGCCTATGCTTATACGCGGTAGTTTCGTGGTAGTACCAACCTTACATAAATTAATTTGAGTGAACTAAATATAATGTATAAGAATGAAATTTATACAACACATATTAGCTTGCATATATTTTTCGTGTTTAATGCACGGCAATTAACTTTTTATTTGAATAAAAGTGTCTATTCATTAAGAGCTTGTAAAATTATGGATGAAATCTGGCAACATTGTTATGGCGTGGTGGTAAAAGTTGGGTCAACTGTCATTACTGTCAACTTTGCGCTTATTCCGTATACATGAATCCAAGGTACAAAGTACAAAGTAATGACTAATGACTGAAAAGTAATATAAAATGCGTATGAAACAGAATGTGGGTTGATGAGAAAAAAGTAAAATGTGCAAACCGAGATTCCATATGATAACTATCAAGAAGTTCAGTGTATGATAGTGAGACGTCGCCTTGTCAAATTGAAGATTATCACAGAACATCTATACTGTTCGTTTTACAAAGAGATCCTTTCAATTTTTGTTTCAAATTGCTATTATATTGCATTAGATCACGAAAAATGTATTTAATACTAATTATTACTACATATGTTTTCAACTGGAATAATTTTATAGTCTATAATCGAACTATTCAAATATAGCGCGTCAGTCGAAGTGTTAAATACAGCGTACAGTGTTGCCATATTTCTTTTCATAGGATCAGATGTTTGTTCAAATTTGTCAAAACGTTATATATTCATTCCATCATCTCAATAATTACATTGTAAGTGCATATTTTTATTGTTTTAAAATGTTTGGTAATATTTAATTATTTAATTACAATTTTATTTTCCCGATCCTAACCATTTTTAAGAGCAATATTCACGTTTGATTAAAGTTTTT